CTGGCATTTTATTATTACTCCCCTGAATAACAGTGAAAAGAGTTTTGTAACCCCAAGGTAACATGGCTCTGTAAGAAGGAAAGAGGGGTGAGATTTAGCAGCAGCTGCCATCATAAATCAGTGCGTGGCTGTTTCTCTTAGAGCTCCGGGCTCAACTCCTGGCTGTCAGAAACTTATAAGGGAAGCCCCTTGAGAATTTATGTAACAATGGGAAGACTCATTTTCCTTCCTGCAAGAACCTTTCCGAAGCAAGGCAAGAATTAGGCTGATTAGATTCTATGTGAAGAAAGAAAACCAAACCAGGGGTTTACAGGAAGGGAAAATGTGGGTCAACTGCAGCTACTTACCCTGCCGGAAAAAAAACGGACCTTGTAAATAGAGAACAAGCTGAATTCCAACAAATAAATGAATGAATGGATGCCCGAATAAATGAATGAGTGAGTGTGATGCAGGCTTCCTACTGGGTGGCTCTGTCAGTGTGAGAACACTTCCATCCTGGCGTCACCCAGAAATGTTTAATGCATAACAAGGCCAATCAACACAGTCAGCTGTTGAATATTCATGCACAGATGATGCTTCTAGTCAATATGTTTGATTTTTGTGTGTACTGATAGATTTTCAAATTCACGGTGTAGACCAAAATTCTTGATGAAGAAGGAAGAAGAGGAGAAGGAGGACGAGGAAGAGAAGGGAAAGGTGGAGGGCAGGAGTGCGGGGAGGGAAGAAAACAGAAGGAAATTTAGGTTAAGAGCCTACATTAACGCTGGGTAGGATTGCTGGATTAAAATGCTTATATTGGAAAATTTTTCATTAGTTATCTGAAATTCAAATTTAACCGGGTGCCCTGTTTTTTATTTGCTACATTTTTTAGCAATTTTTTTGCTAAATTTTTTTTTATTTGCTAAATCTGGCGACCTATTTCTAGGCTAATAACCTATGTATGGCTGAGGAAAGTGTCTGCAGACATGCCCACACCTGGGAGTCAGAAGGAGGGAAAACAATAGGAAGAATCAGAAGCAGACAGAAGAGTCTGCAGAAATATGGAAGGAGAACAAGGTGCACACAGAGCTTCTGCTAAGTGGTACAGGCACGGGGACAGGAGGATCCTCAGCAAGAAAGACCTAATGGCTATAGAGCTTGGCCCTTACACGTCTGCTGGTGCCATGAGTGCCAGATCAGTGCAGATCGGTGCATCTCAGTGAGGTTGGGTGGAGATGGGGTGCATGTCAGAATGACTTAAAGTCTATCAAAATTGAAATCTACATGCTGGAAGTAGCCCACTTCCCCTCTGAGGGTTGGGGAGAGAGACATAAGGTATGTGTAACTCTTACCAACTCAGAATTTATGTGGTTCAGTTTGGGGCTACATTGTGGTTATTAAGGCACAAAATAAATTATACATTGTTTTTTGCATTCTTCTTGAAAACCATGAAGGAGAGCCATAGTTTACCACAACTCGTTCAAAAGTCCTTATCTTCAATCTAACTTCCTTTGTAGCCCTTGCGGTTCCCCTGGGTGCCCCTTTCCACAAATTCACCAATCTTCAGCAATTCCCCTCTTCCCTTCTATTTTTCCTTTTATTATGTAGCTATCAAGCTTCTCTTTCCAGCAAAAAGTTTCAACCAACTTTTCCAACTCTGTCCCAAATGATCTGAAAGATGACGCCTTTTCGAAAGTGGGGGGAAAATGGAGCTGGCAATTATAAAATTCTCTCTGGCAGGCAGGGAATGGGAAGAGAACAGATTTTCTTGCCCTGTCCCTGGTATTTTGAAAAGCTTTCTAAGTGACTGATATCTGGCCCCTTTTGAGAGCTGCCACTCTTAACAGAGACACAAAGCCTTTCATTTCTTGGCAAATTTCTCCCTGCAAAATCCATTCTTCTTTCTGCACTGAGCTCAGAAAGAGGTGTCATTGTGTGATAGTGGACATCTGTCATTTGTCCCAACAAAGACCACAAAGTGCCATGCCAGGATCGGATGACCCAAAACATCTACTTGAGTCTCCCAGTCAAGATTTCTGGCCAGACTGGCTCTAACCTCAACAAGGTCTTGCTTAAAAAAAAAAAAGAATGGGTGGTCCTGTCACCTTCCCAACCAGAATGATCCTGAGGATGAAGCTTCCCAGCTTCATCAAAGCTGCCTTGGTTGTGGTGACCACGGCAGCTGCCAGGCAGGTTCACAAGGAGCCCTGGGGGTGGGCGGCCAGCATAGTGCGACATTTGTAGGGTGGAGTGTAGTCTTAGCTTCCACCCAGCTGGCCTGTGAGTCCCCCAAGAGTCAGAGGCCACCGCTGACCCCTCAAGGGTCCTCAGGACTCCAGGGGTTTTGAAAAGATCCTCTGGGCACCCCCAGCCCTCACTTCACCCCCTACACACTCCCCACAGCTAAGGATCCAGATGTGAATGACCTTAAGGTCGGTGGCAAGCAAGACTTCAAGCACCAACCTCCATCCTTCCCTTTTTAAAAAAATATGGCAGACCTGAGAGATGCTGTCCTCAGCTGCTGCACTGTGGCAGAGAACCTTGGCAACTTCAAACCCATTTCAAAACTCAGGGTGATGAAGGGCCTCCAGGCAAACTCTAGCGACAGCTCCACTCGCCCTTTGACCTGTGGCTGCTAAAGATCAGCTGACCCCTGCCGCCAGACAGGAGGAGAGAAAATACTAAATGGGGCCTCACCCCCAGAGGTGGTCTCCTTTAAAAAGTCTGGTGCCTTGTTTGCTAGCTTTGGATTTTTAAAGGGTTGTCTTAGCTTCATGCCCCCAATGTTAATAAAACAAACAAACAACTTCAATAAAAACCATCTGTAAAATCCAAATAAAAATTTCTAGTAATCTGGGACTCCATTTTTTGCATCCATCCATGGCACCAGTTAATGCAAGACACTCCACACGCAGCACATATATATAGATACAAAACAATGTCTTTTCAAGAATATAAATGTTAACACAGGTAAAATCATGAATTCCATAATTGCTTCTGTGGACACTGCGTCATACTAAGTTTCTCGATTAAGAGAAATGATTGTCCTCTGAGTGTAGCGCTTGCTGTTGTGTTCTGCGCAGCACAGAAGCACAGGTGTAGGGCTGCGGGTATTTGTGGTCTCCAGGCCTCCACCTCCCCGCCTCTGTGCTTTTTCTCTTTCTTTGGCCACCAGATGGCATTCTGGAAACGTTCTCAGCACCAGTTTCCTGCACCAAAGCTCCCCTGCGCTATTCCCAACTGCCCTCCCTCTCTCCCTGCTCTCTGTTCCCTTCCATCCCTCTGGGGGCTTTCTGGAGGGCAGACCTGCATGATCTTGGCCAAGTTATCTATCTCCTTGCGTTCAGCTTCTTCATCCCGCCAGCACGGGAGTAAGGGTGGCACAGGATGGCATGTGAGAAGCCCTCAGCACGAGGCGTGGCCTGAAGCTGCTGTTCTCATCCAGCTCAGAGTCCTCCGAGAGCCCCCCGCGGCCTTCAGGACAAGATCCGAGCCCCCAGCGTGGGGTGCAGGTGCCCCCAAGCCCTGCCGATGTGCCCAGCACACCTTCCTCCCCCGCACCCTCCTCACAGACCCTCCTGCAGCACTGTACATACGGCGCCCGCTTGCCCATCCCGTCTCTGCGCCCTCCCCTGGCTAACTCCTCCATGCCAGTCAGGATAATGCTAAGTGCCCTCCGCAGGGAGCTCCCTGATGCCCAGGCCTGGACACAGAGCCACTCCTCTGGGCCCAGTTCTTTCATCTCCCTGCCCCCACCTCAGACTGAAGCCCTTGGGGCCACTTTGCCTTGCTTGCTGCCCGGCACTTAGTAACAGCATACGTGAGCCAGGCCACCACAGGGCTGACTGTCAGCTGAGGGGCCACTGACAGCCGGGCGCTGGAGCCTGCACTGGCTCCTGGGAAGCACAGCAGCACCTGGCCCAAGTACAAGCTGAGGGAGGCCTGGGAAATGAGCTTTGTGGCCGGGAAGGCAGAGACAAAAGTGGAGGGACAAAAGCAAGCCCTCTCCACCATTCACACAGGAGGCGTGAACCTGGCAAATGACACAAGGCAAAATGCTAGTCTCATGTGACAAGCTCTCTGTGCCAGGGACTGTGCTGAGCCCTCAGGTGTGTCACCTCACTGGATCCTTACCACAGACTCACAGATGGGGGACAGCCACACTCCACAGAGAAGGAAACTGAGGCCCGGGGGTGGGGGGTGGAGTGACTGGCGCAATGTGAGCTGTGGCGCAAGTGAGCTGTGTGCGTTCTGTCTCGGAGGCGTGCTGTGGGACGTGGCCCTGAGGCCACTGCTGTGGTCCTGGGGCTTCAGTAAGATTGCGAGGAAATATCCAGGGCTGGAATGTGGGGTGAAAGGACCCGGTGTGGGGAAAAAAAGGACAGGGAAGGGAGAGGTGCCCACGGGTTGTAGGCCAGGGAGGTCCCTCCTCTGCCCCTGTCCTTCTAATGGCCACAGGCTTCCAGGCCAACAGGCCCTGACGGGGGTCGTCTGTGTCCCAACAAGCACCTTCGGCCCCAGGGACTCAGCTGCAAGCGTCCATCTAGGGGAAGCTGGCCCCTAATTCTCTTCATTTCAAGTGCATGCCAAGCCTCTGGACTCAGCCTGGAAGTAGCATGGGAGCCTGGGCGAGGGCTGGGGGCAACAAATGGAGGAGGGAGAGGAGAAGCAGCAGGCCACCGGGCAACTGCCTCTTGGCCCCTTTCTGGACCTCGTCTCTGTGGAGGGGAATGAAGGGGGCACAGCTGAAGACATCCAGGAAGGGTGCTGGGCCAGCGAGGGGAGTCAGCATTCACGGGACCCTGTCATAACCAGCAGGGAGAGAGAAGAATTGGAGGAAGGGAGGGAGAGGGAGAAGTATAAAAACCTCCAGGACGAAGGGGCACGAGGCGGGGGATTCCCCGACAGACGCTGAGGCCGTCCAGCTGCAGAGAACAATGGGCCCCAAGGCCGGGGAGCCGGAAGGGAAGGGGGTGGGAGGCTGGAGAGGTCCTTGTGCTTCAGGAGCCAAGGGCCTAGACGCCCTGGTGGGCCTGGGTGGGCAGGGGCTGCCCCAGGGCCAGTGCAAGAGCCAGAAGCCGCCTGGCTCTCGGTGGGACAAGCCGAGCAGATCTCAACACCCACTGCTGATGATAATGTCACTGCCCAGCCCTCTGAGCGAGGCCCAAGCCCTGTGCACCATTTCTTTTCGCCCTCCCAATTTCCTGCTGGGAAGGCTACTGTTCTTATTGCCATCCACACTTTAAAGTCGAGGAGCTGGAGGCCCAGTGAGGTTAAGTGACTTGTCCCGCCGCACCCAGCTGGTAAGCTGCAGAGGCCGAACTCGAGCCCAGGCTCTGATGGCTGCCCTCGTAATCACAGCTGTTCCCACGAGACAAAAACGGGTGATCAGTGAGAGGTAGATGAGTGTGGGAAAAAGCTGGAATGGGAGAGGGGAAATGACAGAAAGAGAGGGTGAAGAGGGAGGGAGGGAGGCAGGGAGCACTGCCCGCCCAGCCGCACAGGAGCTCCCTTCCCTCCGGTCACTGCCTTATGCCGCGGACAGCACCTTCCCTTCCGGCCGGCTGGCCCCGGGGCCCCGGCCCGTCCTCCGCAGAGGCAGCCCCTCGGCTTCCCGGGAAGCGCTCTTTCTCTGATTGGCATTGAAACGTACAGCCCTCCCTTTTCCTGTAGGTGGGGTTTCCATAGGAAAAAGCTGCTTTTCTGTTTCCCCAGCTTAGCAACTGTTTGGAAGGCAGATCCCCTCATCCTGCTCCACTGGGTCAAGTCCCTCTCAGACCGGCTTCTGACCATCATTTGCTGAAGCGGACAAACGGGCGCCCCTATGCAGGGTCTTCCCAGCGATTTCACTTCATCCGTGCTTGGACCGCTCAGGTCTCTTCAGATGAAGATGGCCTTGCCTGGGAATCCCTCTCATTCCATCGTCATCTAGTTATGGGACGAGGTTGTGCCAGCAGGTCTGGGGGCAGAAGAACGGGGCAGATCAAGCTCCCCAGGAAGCACTGGAGGACTTGCCCGGCCTTGAAGCACTCTAGTGGTTTCTGAATCTAGCCGCTCTGGTGGTAAGCATGATGCGACTGCTGCCGTTCCTACTGGGGCTCTGGGGGCCAGGTGGCTATTTGCTCCTCTCAGGGGACTGTCAGGAGGTGGCCACTCTCACTGTGAAGTACCGAGTATCAGAGGAAGTGCCGCCCGGCACGGTGATAGGGAAGCTGTCCCAGGAACTGGGCTGGGAGGAGAGGCAGGGGCCAGCGGGGGCTGCCTTCCAGGTCTTGCAGCTGCGTCAGGCCCTCCCCATCCGGGTGGGCTCCAAGGACGGCCTGCTCAGCACCGGGACGCGGCTGGACCGAGAGCAGCTTTGCCGGCAGCAGGATCCCTGCCTGCTTTCCTTTGACGTGCTTGCCACAGGGGATTTGGCTCTGATCCACGTGGAGATCCAGGTACTGGACGTCAACGACCACCAGCCACGGTTCCCCAAAAATGAACAGGAGCTGGAAATCTCAGAGAGTGCCTCTCTGCGCACCCGGATCCCCCTGGACAGAGCTCTCGACCCGGACACTGGCCCCAACACCCTGCACTCCTACACCTTGTCTCCCAGTGAACACTTCGCTCTGGATGTCATCGTGGGGCCTGATGAGGCCAAACATGCGGAGCTTGTGGTGGTGAAGGAGCTGGACCGGGAAATCCACTCGTGTTTTGATCTGGTGCTGACTGCTTATGACAGTGGGAGCCCCCCCAAGTCAGGCACCAGCTTGGTCAAGGTTAACGTCCTGGACTCCAACGACAATAGCCCTGTGTTTGCTGAAAGTTCGTTAGCACTAGAAATCCGGGAAGATGCCGCCCCTGGCACTCTCCTCATAAATTTGACGGCCACTGATCCCGACCAGGGCCCCAATGGGGAAGTGGAGTTCTTCCTCAGTAAGCATGTGTCTCCAGAGGTGCTGCACACCTTCCACGTAGAAGCCAAGACAGGCCAGGTGATCCTGCGTCAGCCCCTCGACTACGAGAAGAATCCTGCCTACGAGGTGGATGTCCAGGCAAGGGACCTGGGTCCCAGTCCCATCCCAGCCCATTGCAAAGTTCTCATTAAGGTCCTGGATGTCAACGACAATGCGCCGAGCGTCCATATCACGTGGGCCTCCCAGCCATCCCTGGTGTCGGAAGCTCTTCCCAAGGACAGTTTCATCGCTCTTGTCATGGCAAATGACTTGGACTCAGGAAACAATGGTCTGGTCCACTGTTGGCTGAGTCAAGAGCTGGGCCACTTCAAGCTGAGAAGGACGAATGGCAACACATACATGCTGCTAACCAACGCCACGCTGGACAGAGAGCGGTGGCCCAAATATACCCTCACTCTCTTGGCCCAAGACCAAGGACCGCAGCCCTTATCAGCCAAGGAACAGCTCAACATCCAGGTCAGTGATGCCAACGACAACGCCCCAGTGTTTGAGAAGAGCATGTACGAGGTCTCCACTAGGGAAAACAACCTGCCCTCCCTCCACCTCCTTACCATCAGGGCTCACGATGCGGACCTGGGCATTAATGGAGAGATCTCATACCGCATCCAGGACTCCCCAGTCTCTCACTTGGTAGCTATTGACTCAGACACAGGAGAGGTCACTGCGCAGAGGTCACTGGACTATGAACAGATGGCCAGCTTTGAGTTCCGCGTGATCGCGGAGGACAGGGGGCAGCCTCAGCTTGCATCCAGCGTCTCTGTGTGGGTCAGCCTCCTGGATGCCAACGATAATGCCCCAGAGGTGACTCATCCCATACTCAGTGATGGAAAAGCCAGCCTCTCCGTGCTCGTAAATGCCTCCACAGGCCACCTTCTGGTGCCCATTGAGACTCCCAGTGGCGTGGGCCCAGTGGGTGCCGACACCTCACCACTGGCCATCCACGGCCCCCGGCCATTCCTTTTGGTAACCATTGCAGCGAGAGATGCAGACTCCGGGGCCAATGGAGAGCTCCTCTACAGCATCCGGAGTGGGAATGAAGCCCAGCTCTTCGTCCTCAGCCCCCACCTGGGGCAGTTGTTCATCAACACCACCAATGCCAGCAACCTCATTGGGAGTGAGTGGGAACTGCAAATAGTGGTAGAAGACTGTGGCAGCCCCTCCTTGCAGACGCAGGCCCTGCTGAGGGTCTTGTTTGTCACCAGCGTAGATCACCTGAGGGACTTGGCCCGTGAGTCTGGGGCGCTGAGCACCTCGGTGCTGACGGCGGTTTGCCTGGTTGTGCTGCTGGCCATCTTCGGGTTGATCTTGGCTCTGATTGCGTCTATCTGCCGCACAGAGAAGAAAGACAACAGGGCCTACAACTGTCGGGAGGCTGAGTCTACTTACCGCCACCAGCCCAAGAGGCCCCAGAAACACATCCAGAAGGCAGATATTCACCTCGTGCCCGTGCTCAGGGGCCAGGTGGATGAGCCCGGAGGAGGTGGGCAGCCCCACAAGGATGCTGGCAGGGAAGCAATGATGGAAGCAGGCTGGGACCCCTGCCTGCAGGCCCCCTTTCACCTCACACCGACCCTGTACAGGACCCTGCGTAACCAAGGCAACCAGGGAGTGCAGCCAGAGAGCCGAGAGGTGCTGCAGGACACTGTCAACTTCCTCTTCAACCACCCCAGGCAGAGGAATGCCTCTCGCGAGAACTTGAATCTCCCTGAGCCCCAGCCTGCGACCGGTCAGCCACGCTCAAGGCCCCTGAAGGTCACGGGCAGCCCCACAGGGAGGCTGCCTGGGGAGCAGGGCTGCGAGGAGGCCCCGCTGAACTCACCAGCCTCCTCTGCAACCCTGAGGCGGCAGCGGAATCTCAACGGCAAAGTGGCCCCTGAGAAAGAGTCAGGCCCCCGTGAGATCCTGCGGAGCCTGGTCCGGTTGTCTGTGGCTGCCTTCGCAGAGCGGAACCCCGTGGAGGAGCTCACTGTGGATTCTCCTCCTGTTCAGGTACCTGGGGGGTGGGCAGCTCTCTCTCTGGTCACCCCTGGACCGCCACCGACAGCATCAGGCACCCTACCCTCACATTCCTCAATTCATTCCTCAGGCACACGGGGCACTTTACGGCAACTCAGATCCCTCTGGGGTCCACAGACCTGAGCTGTGTGATGCTGGGCAACTTACTTACTGTCTCTGAAACCTTAGTTTCCCTACTTGTCAAGTAGGGATGATGGTAAGAGCAGCTACCTTGCAGAGTTGTCCTAAGGATCTGATCAGTTAATTCCTACAAGGCACTTACTCAGGGTGCCTGGTACAAGGAGGCACACAGCAAAAGCAGTGATTAGGAGCACAAGCTGTGGAGCAAGGCTACCTGGGTTCGATTTGGTCCCCCCTCTTCCTAGCTGTGACCCACGGGGATGTTACTCAGCTTCTCCATTGAAGATGTCCATGTTAACAACACCTATCTCCTAAATTTGCTTGAAGATAAAATGAGTGCACTTAAAGCCTCTAGAATCTCTCTGGCATGCAGTCCCACTCAGCAGGTGATTACAGTTACTTCTGCAAAGCTCTTCTCCATCTCCACCGGCCCCCTTCTCAGCTGGGCAACCTCCCTACAAAGCAGGCCAGCAATGGGCATCACTGCCCCCAGGTTCAGGGCCTGCATGTGGCTTGCCTGAGAGCCCAGAGATTGCTGGCTGGGCCTGCAGAGTGGGGCAGCGGAAACAATCTTGGACCTTGGGAGACTGGCAGAGCCGGGTTCAAATCTCAACACAGACATTTAGGAGCTAGGTGACCTCAGGCAAGTTTTCTAACATGTGAACCTCATTTTCTTTAGCTATAAAATGGAGATCATGATGCCCAACTTACCCTGTGCCTACCTCCCAGGGGTGTGAGGATTAAATGGGATGAAAAATAACGAAGTGTACAGTGACCTGGGGTGTACTAGTCACAAATGGGCACTCTTTTTCAGGGATGGTACCTGATCTCACACCCGTATCTGCTCCTCTGCATCCCAGATAACGTTCCCGGTGCCAGGCTTCCTGCTCAAGGCACACTTCTGTTTGGCCAGGCCATCAGCTCAGGTTTCCTGTGGCGCAAGGATGCAGCTTCCTTCCCCAGGAAGCCACCTGAGGGGACCCAGCTGCTCTCTGAGGAGCCTTGCCCTGGGCTGTATACAGACCCAGAGGTTGCCCAGAGCCATCATTCCTTCAAGTGCTTACTAAGTGAGTTCTTTGTGCCAAACACTGTGCTCGTTGTTGGTGAACAGACAGCGGACAGCAGGCACCGTGGGTGACCCCACCGTGGTGATGGAAGGAAGGCGGCCTGGTGGGGATCTACTAGAAAGTAAGAGGCAGCCTGCCTAAATGCTCATATATTCCTAGAAGCACAGTGCCACGGTGGATTTGGATCGGGGTCCAAATTCAAATTCCAGCCCTGCCATTAATAGCTTTGTAGAGCCTGTGAGCCTCAGGTTTCACTTCTGCAAAATGGGTGTGGTGGAATCTTCTCCCTTGGGTTATTGTAAGATTAAATGAGATGATATACCCCCCAAGAGTTACTAAGTGCTTATCATTAGATCTCTTAATTGAGGGCTGGGGGCAACAAATGGAGGAGGGAGAGGAGAAGCAGCAGGCCACCGGGCAACTGCCTCTTGGCCCCTTTCTGGACCTCGTCTCTGTGGAGGGGAATGAAGGGGGCACAGCTGAAGACATCCAGGAAGGGTGCTGGGCCAGCGAGGGGAGTCAGCATTCACGGGACCCTGTCATAACCAGCAGGGAGAGAGAAGAATTGGAGGAAGGGAGGGAGAGGGAGAAGTATAAAAACCTCCAGGACGAAGGGGCACGAGGCGGGGGATTCCCCGACAGACGCTGAGGCCGTCCAGCTGCAGAGAACAATGGGCCCCAAGGCCGGGGAGCCGGAAGGGAAGGGGGTGGGAGGCTGGAGAGGTCCTTGTGCTTCAGGAGCCAAGGCCCTAGACGCCCTGGTGGGCCTGGGTGGGCAGGGGCTGCCCCAGGGCCAGTGCAAGAGCCAGAAGCCGCCTGGCTCTCGGTGGGACAAGCCGAGCAGATCTCAACACCCACTGCTGATGATAATGTCACTGCCCAGCCCTCTGAGCGAGGCCCAAGCCCTGTGCACCATTTCTTTTCGCCCTCCCAATTTCCTGCTGGGAAGGCTACTGTTCTTATTGCCATCCACACTTTAAAGTCGAGGAGCTGGAGGCCCAGTGAGGTTAAGTGACTTGTCCCGCCGCACCCAGCTGGTAAGCTGCAGAGGCCGAACTCGAGCCCAGGCTCTGATGGCTGCCCTCGTAATCACAGCTGTTCCCACGAGACAAAAACGGGTGATCAGTGAGAGGTAGATGAGTGTGGGAAAAAGCTGGAATGGGAGAGGGGAAATGACAGAAAGAGAGGGTGAAGAGGGAGGGAGGGAGGCAGGGAGCACTGCCCGCCCAGCCGCACAGGAGCTCCCTTCCCTCCGGTCACTGCCTTATGCCGCGGACAGCACCTTCCCTTCCGGCCGGCTGGCCCCGGGGCCCCGGCCCGTCCTCCGCAGAGGCAGCCCCTCGGCTTCCCGGGAAGCGCTCTTTCTCTGATTGGCATTGAAACGTACAGCCCTCCCTTTTCCTGTAGGTGGGGTTTCCATAGGAAAAAGCTGCTTTTCTGTTTCCCCAGCTTAGCAACTGTTTGGAAGGCAGATCCCCTCATCCTGCTCCACTGGGTCAAGTCCCTCTCAGACCGGCTTCTGACCATCATTTGCTGAAGCGGACAAACGGGCGCCCCTATGCAGGGTCTTCCCAGCGATTTCACTTCATCCGTGCTTGGACCGCTCAGGTCTCTTCAGATGAAGATGGCCTTGCCTGGGAATCCCTCTCATTCCATCGTCATCTAGTTATGGGACGAGGTTGTGCCAGCAGGTCTGGGGGCAGAAGAACGGGGCAGATCAAGCTCCCCAGGAAGCACTGGAGGACTTGCCCGGCCTTGAAGCACTCTAGTGGTTTCTGAATCTAGCCGCTCTGGTGGTAAGCATGATGCGACTGCTGCCGTTCCTACTGGGGCTCTGGGGGCCAGGTGGCTATTTGCTCCTCTCAGGGGACTGTCAGGAGGTGGCCACTCTCACTGTGAAGTACCGAGTATCAGAGGAAGTGCCGCCCGGCACGGTGATAGGGAAGCTGTCCCAGGAACTGGGCTGGGAGGAGAGGCAGGGGCCAGCGGGGGCTGCCTTCCAGGTCTTGCAGCTGCGTCAGGCCCTCCCCATCCGGGTGGGCTCCAAGGACGGCCTGCTCAGCACCGGGACGCGGCTGGACCGAGAGCAGCTTTGCCGGCAGCAGGATCCCTGCCTGCTTTCCTTTGACGTGCTTGCCACAGGGGATTTGGCTCTGATCCACGTGGAGATCCAGGTACTGGACGTCAACGACCACCAGCCACGGTTCCCCAAAAATGAACAGGAGCTGGAAATCTCAGAGAGTGCCTCTCTGCGCACCCGGATCCCCCTGGACAGAGCTCTCGACCCGGACACTGGCCCCAACACCCTGCACTCCTACACCTTGTCTCCCAGTGAACACTTCGCTCTGGATGTCATCGTGGGGCCTGATGAGGCCAAACATGCGGAGCTTGTGGTGGTGAAGGAGCTGGACCGGGAAATCCACTCGTGTTTTGATCTGGTGCTGACTGCTTATGACAGTGGGAGCCCCCCCAAGTCAGGCACCAGCTTGGTCAAGGTTAACGTCCTGGACTCCAACGACAATAGCCCTGTGTTTGCTGAAAGTTCGTTAGCACTAGAAATCCGGGAAGATGCCGCCCCTGGCACTCTCCTCATAAATTTGACGGCCACTGATCCCGACCAGGGCCCCAATGGGGAAGTGGAGTTCTTCCTCAGTAAGCATGTGTCTCCAGAGGTGCTGCACACCTTCCACGTAGAAGCCAAGACAGGCCAGGTGATCCTGCGTCAGCCCCTCGACTACGAGAAGAATCCTGCCTACGAGGTGGATGTCCAGGCAAGGGACCTGGGTCCCAGTCCCATCCCAGCCCATTGCAAAGTTCTCATTAAGGTCCTGGATGTCAACGACAATGCGCCGAGCGTCCATATCACGTGGGCCTCCCAGCCATCCCTGGTGTCGGAAGCTCTTCCCAAGGACAGTTTCATCGCTCTTGTCATGGCAAATGACTTGGACTCAGGAAACAATGGTCTGGTCCACTGTTGGCTGAGTCAAGAGCTGGGCCACTTCAAGCTGAGAAGGACGAATGGCAACACATACATGCTGCTAACCAACGCCACGCTGGACAGAGAGCGGTGGCCCAAATATACCCTCACTCTCTTGGCCCAAGACCAAGGACCGCAGCCCTTATCAGCCAAGGAACAGCTCAACATCCAGGTCAGTGATGCCAACGACAACGCCCCAGTGTTTGAGAAGAGCATGTACGAGGTCTCCACTAGGGAAAACAACCTGCCCTCCCTCCACCTCCTTACCATCAGGGCTCACGATGCGGACCTGGGCATTAATGGAGAGATCTCATACCGCATCCAGGACTCCCCAGTCTCTCACTTGGTAGCTATTGACTCAGACACAGGAGAGGTCACTGCGCAGAGGTCACTGGACTATGAACAGATGGCCAGCTTTGAGTTCCGCGTGATCGCGGAGGACAGGGGGCAGCCTCAGCTTGCATCCAGCGTCTCTGTGTGGGTCAGCCTCCTGGATGCCAACGATAATGCCCCAGAGGTGACTCATCCCATACTCAGTGATGGAAAAGCCAGCCTCTCCGTGCTCGTAAATGCCTCCACAGGCCACCTTCTGGTGCCCATTGAGACTCCCAGTGGCGTGGGCCCAGTGGGTGCCGACACCTCACCACTGGCCATCCACGGCCCCCGGCCATTCCTTTTGGTAACCATTGCAGCGAGAGATGCAGACTCCGGGGCCAATGGAGAGCTCCTCTACAGCATCCGGAGTGGGAATGAAGCCCAGCTCTTCGTCCTCAGCCCCCACCTGGGGCAGTTGTTCATCAACACCACCAATGCCAGCAACCTCATTGGGAGTGAGTGGGAACTGCAAATAGTGGTAGAAGACTGTGGCAGCCCCTCCTTGCAGACGCAGGCCCTGCTGAGGGTCTTGTTTGTCACCAGCGTAGATCACCTGAGGGACTTGGCCCGTGAGTCTGGGGCGCTGAGCACCTCGGTGCTGACGGCGGTTTGCCTGGTTGTGCTGCTGGCCATCTTCGGGTTGATCTTGGCTCTGATTGCGTCTATCTGCCGCACAGAGAAGAAAGACAACAGGGCCTACAACTGTCGGGAGGCTGAGTCTACTTACCGCCACCAGCCCAAGAGGCCCCAGAAACACATCCAGAAGGCAGATATTCACCTCGTGCCCGTGCTCAGGGGCCAGGTGGATGAGCCCGGAGGAGGTGGGCAGCCCCACAAGGATGCTGGCAGGGAAGCAATGATGGAAGCAGGCTGGGACCCCTGCCTGCAGGCCCCCTTTCACCTCACACCGACCCTGTACAGGACCCTGCGTAACCAAGGCAACCAGGGAGTGCAGCCAGAGAGCCGAGAGGTGCTGCAGGACACTGTCAACTTCCTCTTCAACCACCCCAGGCAGAGGAATGCCTCTCGCGAGAACTTGAATCTCCCTGAGCCCCAGCCTGCGACCGGTCAGCCACGCTCAAGGCCCCTGAAGGTCACGGGCAGCCCCACAGGGAGGCTGCCTGGGGAGCAGGGCTGCGAGGAGGCCCCGCTGAACTCACCAGCCTCCTCTGCAACCCTGAGGCGGCAGCGGAATCTCAACGGCAAAGTGGCCCCTGAGAAAGAGTCAGGCCCCCGTGAGATCCTGCGGAGCCTGGTCCGGTTGTCTGTGGCTGCCTTCGCAGAGCGGAACCCCGTGGAGGAGCTCACTGTGGATTCTCCTCCTGTTCAGGTACCTGGGGGGTGGGCAGCTCTCTCTCTGGTCACCCCTGGACCGCCACCGACAGCATCAGGCACCCTACCCTCACATTCCTCAATTCATTCCTCAGGCACACGGGGCACTTTACGGCAACTCAGATCCCTCTGGGGTCCACAGACCTGAGCTGTGTGATGCTGGGCAACTTACTTACTGTCTCTGAAACCTTAGTTTCCCTACTTGTCAAGTAGGGATGATGGTAAGAGCAGCTACCTTGCAGAGTTGTCCTAAGGATCTGATCAGTTAATTCCTACAAGGCACTTACTCAGGGTGCCTGGTACAAGGAGGCACACAGCAAAAGCAGTGATTAGGAGCACAAGCTGTGGAGCAAGGCTACCTGGGTTCGATTTGGTCCCCCCTCTTCCTAGCTGTGACCCACGGGGATGTTACTCAGCTTCTCCATTGAAGATGTCCATGTTAACAACACCTATCTCCTAAATTTGCTTGAAGATAAAATGAGTGCACTTAAAGCCTCTAGAATCTCTCTGGCATGCAGTCCCACTCAGCAGGTGATTACAGTTACTTCTGCAAAGCTCTTCTCCATCTCCACCGGCCCCCTTCTCAGCTGGGCAACCTCCCTACAAAGCAGGCCAGCAATGGGCATCACTGCCCCCAGGTTCAGGGCCTGCATGTGGCTTGCCTGAGAGCCCAGAGATTGCTGGCTGGGCCTGCAGAGTGGGGCAGCGGAAACAATCTTGGACCTTGGGAGACTGGCAGAGCCGGGTTCAAATCTCAACACAGACATTTAGGAGCTAGGTGACCTCAGGCAAGTTTTCTAACATGTGAACCTCATTTTCTTTAGCTATAAAATGGAGATCATGATGCCCAACTTACCCTGTGCCTACCTCCCAGGGGTGTGAGGATTAAATGGGATGAAAAATAACGAAGTGTACAGTGACCTGGGGTGTACTAGTCACAAATGGGCACTCTTTTTCAGGGATGGTACCTGATCTCACACCCGTATCTGCTCCTCTGCATCCCAGATAACGTTCCCGGTGCCAGGCTTCCTGCTCAAGGCACACTTCTGTTTGGCCAGGCCATCAGCTCAGGTTTCCTGTGGCGCAAGGATGCAGCTTCCTTCCCCAGGAAGCCACCTGAGGGGACCCAGCTGCTCTCTGAGGAGCCTTGCCCTGGGCTGTATACAGACCCAGAGGTTGCCCAGAGCCATCATTCCTTCAAGTGCTTACTAAGTGAGTTCTTTGTGCCAAACACTGTGCTCGTTGTTGGTGAACAGACAGCGGACAGCAGGCACCGTGGGTGACCCCACCGTGGTGATGGAAGGAAGGCGGCCTGGTGGGGATCTACTAGAAAGTAAGAGGCAGCCTGCCTAAATGCTCATATATTCCTAGAAGCACAGTGCCACGGTGGATTTGGATCGGGGTCCAAATTCAAATTCCAGCCCTGCCATTAATAGCTTTGTAGAGCCTGTGAGCCTCAGGTTTCACTTCTGCAAAATGGGTGTGGTGGAATCTTCTCCCTTGGGTTATTGTAAGATTAAATGAGATGATATACCCCCCAAGAGTTACTAAGTGCTTATCATTAGATCTCTTAATAGGGGATTTATATACTTTCACTTCTTTAATCCTCATAACCACAACCAGCACATGCCTTGGGCCTCATTATTATTCCCTTACTACTGCTGTGGAAACTGAGGCTCAGATGCTTCAAGTAATTCCTCAAGGCCACACATCGGGGACCTGAGGCAGAGGCAGATTTAGGGTTGAATTTGAATTAGAACCTTGAATTGAATTGGAGTTCAACTGAATTCGAATTAGAATCTGAATTTGACCAATTCCAGAGCCTGGACTCTAACTGTGAAATGACCCTGAAGGACAGAGATCACTTAGCTTGGGGAGGGACATGGGGGAATGTCCCTGAAACATCAGCTGCCACCGGAAAGGGTGACAGGTGCCTCACGAGGGCTTCCAGGCCTTGGCAGAGAGGCGGGGTTTGCCCTGAGGCAGGCAATGGGCCCCAGAGCCCCCCGCGTCAGAGGCACCCCAGTCCGGGCCGCCTCCTCTCCCACGTCTCCTCTGAGGCCCTCTCCACTTTTTGTGGTGAGTTACCCAGCAGAGCAGGGCAGGCCTTCCCAGGGAGGAGTGAGGGTGGGCCCAGGGGGAAAGGGCAGTGTTTCTAGGAGTAATAACCCAAACTCCTCACATTTGCAGAGCATTTTTAACTTTCAAACCACCTAATTAATCTTGACAACCCTGTGGGGAAGGCTGGGCAGGTATTTCTAACTCCACCTTGGAGACGAGGAAACAGAGGTCCGAGGACGTCTAAAACCCCGCCTGACATTACACAAGCTAGAAATGACCTTAAAGGAGGACCCAGCCTCCCAAGACTTGGTCTACTGCCTTCTCTCAAGCCCCTGCCTGGTCTGGCCCTAAATTTTGCCCAGCCCCTGCCTCATTCTCCGGCCTTTCCGAAACCCCCCCATCTCCTCTGGCCTTTCAGCTTGCAGGGCCTTCTGTCTGAAACTCCCTTCATCCCTGGCCCAGACCCTCACCTTCTCTTCACTGGCCAAACTCCTGTGGAACCTTGGGGTCTCAGCAGAGGTACCTGGCATGTGGTATGAACTCAAACATTTGTAGAAATAAATGAAGAAACCACCCCCTGTGCCACCTCCCAACTTCCTCCTTGCTCCCAGGTGGGTGGGAGACCCTCCTCTGCTCCCAGGGACCCCCATCCTTTCCCAGCCCCAAAGCAGACCCCTACCCCCCCACAGTAACCGCTGTGCTGGGCAGACTGTGAGCTCCCTGAGGGCAGTGAGGGGGCCTTGTTCTCCTTCTTATTCTTGTTGAATGAATGAAAGGATGAACAAATAGGTGATTCGATGACACCGTTTTGCCTTCTCTACAACATTATCTTACATCTGGCCACCAAAACTGGCTGACTGAATACTGCCACAGGGGGAAATAACTCTTTAAGATAATCCTTTTCAAAGTAACAATGGATTTACGGTCAGGAAATGCCTTTTTCACCCCCACCCCAGAGATCCCAGATCTGTGAAAGCAGAGGCTGGTCCCTTGGGGGAACGGGAGTGAGGCGGTGAGCCCCAAGCGTCCCCATCCTCTCCCTCAGACGCCCACGGCCTGCCTGCGCCCGTCCCGGCCTCCGTCCCCACCCCCACCCCCCATCCCATCACACAAACATCTGAAGCTGGAGGAAAGACTATAAAAAGCAAGCACCGGCATTGAGGGAAACATCCGGCGAGGAAGTGTGCTGGGTCGGAATTGTGTGGAGTCAACAGATTTTTCCTGTCTTACAGCAAATCTCCCAGCTGCTGTCCTTGCTGCATCAGGGCCAGTTCCAGCCCAAACCAAACCACCGGGGAAATAAGTACTCGGCCAAGCCCAGCGCCAGCAGGTAAGCGGCACGGGGTCCCTCGGGCTTCTTGAGCTCCTCCCCTGCCTGCTGGCCTGAGCCTGAGACCTGAGGAGGGGTGAGCCCAGCCCAGGCACTGGTCCCCCGGGAGAGTGCCGCGCACAGCGCCCTCCCTCGTCCCCAGGCAGCTCGGTCCTGCAGCGACCGTATTTATAGTATTTACAGGACCCAGAGTCACTAAGGAAATGACGTCACCCCTGATGCTCTGGCCGGCTGTTCCCTGGCCGCAGAGGTGTGCACTATGGCTTTAAATCCATAACTTTCAGCTTTCTTTCTCTTGACCCTTAAACATACAGTGAGGGCTCCTGGCCAAGAACATGGGTGTGTGGCTATGTGGGTGCTGTCCTGGAATCAGAGACCTCAGAAGGACATCTAGTCTAACTCCTTCCTGTTACAGATGGAGCAACTGAGGCTCTAAGTGGTTTGAGCCAACCCAGCTATGTGAAACTGAGCAAGGGGATGACCTCCAGGCCTCCGTTTCTCATCTGTAAAATGAAGGTCACCACACTCCTTGTAGTGATGGGGTAAGGATTTAATGGGCTTCTAAGCCTGTAGCCCAGTCCGGGCACACAGTAGATGCACAACTAATGCTAAGTCCTTTCGCCTTAAAGTGAGTTTGTTCAAGGTCACATAGCCAGTGGGTGGCAAAAATGGGACCCACTCTCGGGCACCGGACCCTCTGTTCAGTGCTCTTGGCCAGGACAACCTGGAGCTTCTCTGTTGCAGAGATGGTGAGAGGTGGTGTAGGTCAGCCGTGAGTACACACACTCCGGAGTCACATCAGCCTGGACTGAGTTTTTTACTTTACTACTTAATCCATGGGGACCTTGGGCAAGCTGCATGGCCTTCATTAGTCTTGGTTTTCTCATCTGTAAAATGGGAACGATTACAAGAGAATGCCTTGCAGATGTGAAAGGCTTACTGAGAAGGTGCACATACCTTGCAAAGCAGAAGGACTGACTCGAAGTAATTGCTCAATAAACATTAGGTGTGGCATTATTACTTACAAACGTGCCATCTCCCTGTTGATCCCTTAATAGCAGCAAAAGAGGTCCTAGAACAAAAGCAGAAAGGACTCCCCGGCCTTAAAGCCCCTCAGAGACCATTTCCACCTGCTGGATGTGGAGCCAGATCTGCCCCTGCTGTGCAGATGCAGTCCCAGGGACCGGCCCCCCCGGGTGACAGGAAGGCCTACAGGAGGGAGGGGCCGGGTGGAGATGCGGGAGCCAGAGTGGTAGGTTCTGAGAGGCTTCTGGGTGCCTCACCCCAGCTGCAGCCTCCATCACCGTCTTATGTTATAGAAGGGGGTATTCAGTCAGTTAGTCCCCACAGTATTTATTAGGCACCTACTATGTGCCAGGTCCTATTGAGAGCACTGGTGAAAAAGCAGGGAAGAAGACAGACAGAAATCCCTGCCCTCACTAGAGCTCATACTCGGATAGATGGATGGATGGATGGATGGATGGATGGATGGATGGGTGGATGGATGGGTGGATGGATGGATGGATGGATGGATGGTGGATGGGTAGGTGGATGGGTGGATGTATGGATGGATGGATGGATGGTGGATGGATAAGTGGATGGATGGGTGGATGGATGGATGGATGGATGGATGG